TTGCCTGCTAACAAATTTGAAAGCAGCTGAGTTTGTATATTGGGTTACAACCACCAAAATTATATATATATATATATATATATATATATATATAAAATATATTATATATATTTTATATATACAGAATATTTAATATATACAATATATATATATATATATATATATATATATATATATATATATATATATATATATATATTATATGATGGATAAATTGTCGTCTGAATTACACAAAAATGAAAAAATAACGCTGACATCTCATTTTAAGAGATTTATTTACCAAATTTGCACAAGAATATCTTGAAATACTAAAGAGTAAATTTATTCAATAATTCGCCATTGGCTTCAACCACTGTCTACAGATGACTTCGGAATTTCCTGCAACTCTTTTGGACGGTCTCCTTGTTTAAGTTGGTGAATGCTGCCATAATCCTTGCTTTCAGTTCATCTTTGGTTTTAGAAGTATTTTTTTGGTCTCTCGCTGAACTGCGCCCCACACATAATAATCAAGGGGGTTGCAGTTTGGGGAGTTAGGTGGCCAGATGTAAGGGGTGATATGGTCGCAGAAATTGTCTTACTCCCATGACTGGATTCTGATACTTGTGTGGTATATTGCAGAGTTCTTTTGCCAGACATAGGGTCTTCCATCAGCCACTCTCTTGACCCAGGGCAGTACATTCTAGTCACATTTTTCGCTATGCACTGGATGACATTACCACGAATGATGGATAGGTAGGAGAGGACCGCTTCCATTTCCTGCACATTTCCCCGACCACACGCCTTTCGTTTTTATTTATGGGGCCACCTAAATCAGTTGGTTTATGCAGCAGGCATTGAAGTAATATTTGAAAGTTCAATGATTCGACGGGTGCATGCGTGTGTAGAAGCAAGCGGAGGACATTTTGTTATGAGTTAATGTGTTGGGGTATAACGATGACCTTTTGAACGTATCTTTATATGGATATTTTACCTTTGTTAGTTATCAGGAACCCGCCCCAAAACTGTGTAAAAGTATTTTTGGAATATATCTTGTATTGAGCATTTAACAACGTCGAAGGATTAATATTGACTTTTGTCCTTGTTTTGGTGTGGGGTACTCGTCCACAAACTTTATACACCCTGTGTATAAATGCAGGGTGATCAATGAAATACTGAATGGTATAAAACAAAAATTTACAAACACATGACTATCTTGGGGTAGTAAAATTTGAACCATTTGAATCTTTTTCAGAATCTTCTAGGATGCCTAGTTGAACGGAGGGACGACGGATAGAAGCAAATGTATTTTTAAGGACACTCTGCTGTACAGCTTCCATCACTGTATCAGGGTGCAGGGTGCGCTTAGGATCTCTTCCCGGAAGATCGACGACTGATTCAGTTCTTTCAATCGGGAGATCAGGTTCCGAATCATATTATCGCTGGGAGATACCCTTCGATTAAAATGTTGCAGGTATTGTGGATAATTAACCTTTCTCTGGAATAGAAAAACACAATGAGTTTTACTCGTTACTACACATCATCCGAAGCCATTTCAATCTCCAAGGGATGCTCTATAAGTTGCAACAATAAAAGAAAAGAAAAAAAGATTGAAAAAGAATCATGACTTTTCCAAACCCTTCGGTTTTTCAATGACTACCCTAAATATGCCGAGTGTAACAGCAAAATTGTCCAAATCGTGTAACAGCAAAGTTGTCGAATTGTTAGATTAAACTCTGAACCGTTGTATCTTAGATATGATTAAAGATATCTTACTGGAATTCTCCGAGGTTGTTATAACACTATTGGACTCTATATTGAGCAATAAGAATGTATACTCTCCAAGCTCAACAGAAGAATCGAGATGAAATCGATAATAAATTTAGATGACATGTTTATCATTAATTAATCATAGCTAAGGATCGGAAGTTCATGAAGGATTGAAAAGGTAAAAATATATATATATATATATATATATATATATATATATATATATATATATATTATTCAGGATCATTTTCAACTTATTCCAGATGATTTTCGCCCTCTCTAACCTTTTAACTTTATGCTTTGGAGTAAGAAGGTGCCTCACAGGTTTCACGTACGATTTCATTTTCAAGTCTTTTTTTTACTCTCTTTGGACTGTCATATGCGAAACTTCTCTCTCACGTGCCAAACAGGTTATGGATTGAGTTGGATCTTTTCTAATTATTCTCTTTAACTCTAAGAGGGAATTTTATTTCTCTTCCTGTTGTGACCTCTTGATGCAGTTTTTTCTCTCTACTGTTCGCTCTTTGTTAAAATTTATTCACCGTTCTCTTGATGGTTCTTCAATGGACATTGAAGCTGGAATTTTGGTACCATTATTGAAGGACTGAAAGATTTTTTTCCTCTCACCATTTTCAACTGGGAAAACAGTGGGGCTAACAGGAAATGATCTTATTCTGTTCTCTTTGTTTCAGTGATTCTTACGATAAATAGTGTCAAGATGGCTAAACGTCTTACTTGAAAACGTGTAAAAAGAAACTCAATTAATTTACTGTTTTTTAATTATTAAACATTTTTTGGGTGGAAAATTATGTTGTTACATCAACATATATATATATATATATATATATATGTGTGTGTGTGTGTGTGTGTGTGTGTGTGTGTGCTTTGCCTAATGTGTGTGTGAAAATGTGTGCAAAATTATGGAAAATAAAGCATAATATATTTTTTTCCATTACAGCTAAAAACGTTGCGGTTTCTCTCTTCTTTTAATATACACACTTTTCTCTCGTTGGAACTACTATAACCTCTTCCGCGACTCTCCTGTCGAATCGGTGGTTGGAAAACTGAACCCTTTATTTCGTGACTGGGGTAGACTGGAGCCATGTTTAATGGATAAGTTATAGTTATTTTAATTTCCAAAACGGCTTTAACCGGGTATTGAACTCACACTCTTTGGATCCTGTCACTGGATCTAACCAACAACTTTATCCAATGTGCCATGTCTCCTTGAGTTCGACATCTCGGATCGTACAACGGCCGAAACGTTGTAATAAATATGGCGATAAAGATGAGGACAATAGTCCGAATAATGTAAATAGTGTGCATAATACCTCATCTCAGAAATATAGACAGATACTATAGTAGGACTAAGGATAGGGCCCTGGGGGACATTTGTATTAGTACGACAGGAACTGGAAGATTAGCCATTCAAGATTTCTTTCATTTGATTTTCTTTCGAAACAATATATTTTCAACTAATATTGAATAATCAAAACATTTTTCAACGGTTTAATAACATTATCTTTGATTCGTATCCTTTCAATATTAAGTTATAATAATATGTATACATGCATATGTCCAGTTTAAAGAAAGAGTTTTTTTTTTAATGACATGTCCATTCAGGATGTAAGGGGTTCATGCCTCTCTAAAGATTCTGTTTCCTTTATTATCTATAAACTTTCGTGTCTTCTTCGGAAAGCCGGTTTCAGTACGATCACCGAAATTTAAGCAACGTCGAGCCTGGTCAGTAACTTGATGAGAGACTGCTTGGGAATACCAGGTGCTGTAAGCTGGGAGGTGCAGTTGGTGTAATGAATAGTAGCTCGGAATTTTTAATCATAGAGCCGAGTTCCAATTCCCTTTGGTTTCGTGATCATTTACGTGCAAATCCCTTTGGGAACGGTATGAATCCACCTCTTCTCCCTACAGCTATGGGTTAATTAGTAAGATGTGTATTAATAAACGATTATTATCTCCCACACCCCAATCCGAATTTTTTTTTATAATCTAAAAAATATTTTCCGGCTTTAAATAACCTGCAATGGGTTGATAAGCAGTAAAAAACGAATCAATTAATCTACTTCTTAGGAAAATAGTAAAGGCGTTTCTCGTTACTTTTTGAACGATTATGAATTTCGCGGGGGTGGGTGGGGGTTATCCAAGGAGAGGGAATCCAGTCTCCTTTATATTAGCCATAGTTGGATCCTTGTCTTTCCTAGGTGAGTGAATAGACTAGACTAGAATTTGAAAGCTGTTTGCCATTTACACTTTCCGCGTCTTTTTAAAACAATATTTTTGAACCACACTTCATAAATAATAATTAAGAAAACTTATATCAGATGCTCATAATTAGATAAACAATGACAAGATGTGTAAAATAGGTAAGAGCTCCTTCCTGTGTATATTTACTGAACAAAATTATAGGGGTAGTTCTACAATAGTCACTGCAATTAGAAATAATTATTTTTTTTCCATATTTCAATAAATTATGTACTCCAGGTCACGAATAATTTAAAAAAAAATATAATTGTTACTAGGGGTAGAGGATCTAGTTTGCTATTGTAAATTGATGCCATACGGAAGCCAAAGAAAAATATGATTTCTTAAAATTAAAAAAAAAATATCTTTTTTATATTGTAATCTAGAGTACTTAATTGATAGTAAAATCAGTTATTTTTTTCAAATATCTTCTTTTTTTTTAATTTTAGGAATTCTTTCTTTTTAATTGTCTTTTGATTCTTTTTTTAAATTTTAAGAAATCAGGTGGTGTGATCATATTTAGATTTTTTTTCCGTACAGGGAACAATTTACAATGAATTTACAGAGCAAACTAGACCTCGCTATTAATTTATATAACATTTAATGAAAATAAAAAAACATATTCGTGATCTCGAGTGTTTAATCGATTGGAATATGAAAAAAAAAAAAACAATGTTTAAAAAACCTCTGGTTGAAGTACCTCTTCTACAACACCATCAGTTATAGATGTTCAAATTTATTACCAGTGATGACAGGCATCGACTATTACACGAAGTTTTACTTATATAAATCAGGGGTTGATTGCTGTTTCCAGCATCAAGCAGACTAGAAGAAACAACTGTAAAATATAGTTTTCTCGAACCTTATACTGTAAACGGAAGTGGTAGTTTCTGATCCAGCCTTATATATCCATGGCTGTCTATTTCCGAAGATCACATTCTTTCCAGTAGAAAACACGATGTAATTTAAATGCAATACCCAACCCAGTGTCTCCTATGGTTTATAAGGTTAAAACTAAGCAAGGGGCAATGACCTCAGACGTCGGTATTAATACAAATTCAACTCTAAACTAACATTTAATTATCGCTGGGTGCCAGCATGGCCGGATACGGGTAAGTCTTTATTCAGAAGTCTTACTGGTTAGGGGGGGGAATAGGAAAAATGCTTTCACTTTTATGGGATAGCCCTAATTCTTCTTTTATGGGATAGCCCTAATTTTTATATTTATTTTATTTATTTGCGATTTTACAGTGATGGCTTTTTTACAAATTTGAAGTAGTTTGTTAATTACGATACAAGTTGAAGCCAGTGAAAGAAAAGGTCGAATCATTATGAACATTGCCAAAATTATTATTTTTTAGACTATTATTAACTGAACACCAAAACCCTGATAAAGGAAAATAAATTTAGCATTTTTTCCCAGAAGAATTAAGAATTTAAATAATTTAATTTAATTTAATTTGTTTGTTTGTTTGTTTGTTGGTTGGTTTGTTTCTTTCTTTCTTTCAAATGTCGTTTGCTCATAATTATTTTCGCTTTATTTTTCAGGCAATTTACCAATTTTATTTTCCTTCTTATCTCTTTCATTTTCTTTCTTTCTTTCAAATGTCGTTTGCTCATAATTATTTTCGCTTTATTTTTCAGGCAATTTACTAATTTTTTTTTCCTTCTTATCTCTTTCATTTTCTTTCTTTCTTTCTTTCTTTCTTTCTTTCTTTCAAATGTCGTTTGCTCATAATTATTTTCGCTTTATTTTTCAGTCAATTTACTATTTTTTTTCCTTCTTATCTCTTTCATTTTCTTTCTTTTTTTCAAATGTCGTTTGCTCATAATTAATTTTTAGGCAATTTACCAATTTTTTTCCTTCTTATCTCTTTCATTTTTTTCTTTCTTTCTTTCAAATGTCGTTTGCTCATAATTATTTTCGCTTTATTTTTCAGGCAATTTACTAATTTTTTTCCTTCAATTTATCTCTTTCATTTTTTTCTTTCTTTCTCTTTCTTTCAAATGTCGTTTTCATAATTTTCTTTATTTTTCAATTTCTAATTTTTTTTCTTTCTTTCATTTTCTTTCTTTCTTTCAAATGTCGTTTGCTCATAATTATTTTCGCTTTATTTTTCAGTCAATTTACTAATTTTTTTTTTTCCTTCTTATCTCTTTCATTTTTTCTTTCTTTCTTTCTTTCTTTCTTTCAAATGTCGTTTGCTCATAATAATTATTTTCAGTCAATTTTTTTTTTCCTTCTTATCTCTTTCATTTTTCTTTCTTTTTTCTTTCAAATGTCGTTTGCTCATAATTATTTTCGCCTTATTTTTCAGGCAATTTACCAATTTTTTTCCTTCTTATCTCTTTCATTTTCTTTCTTTCTTTCTTTCAAATGTCGTTTGCTCATAATTATTTTCGCTTTATTTTTCAGGCAATTTACCAATTTTTTTCCTTCTTATCTCTTTCATTTTCTTTCTTTCTTTCTTTCTTTCTTTCAAATGTCGTTTGCTCATAATTATTTTCGCTTTATTTTTCAGGCAATTTTACTTTCAAATGTCGTTTGCTCATTTTTTTCCTTTTTTTTTCAGGCTTACTTTTTTTTTCCTTCTTATCTCTTTCATTTTCTTTCTTTCTTTCTTTCAAATGTCGTTTGCTCATAATTATTTTCGCCTTATTTTTTCAGGCAATTTAATCTCTTTATTTTCTTTCTTTTCTTTTTCGTTTGCTTTATTTTTCAGGCAATTTTACTATTTTTTTTCCTTCTTATCTCTTTCATTTTCTTTCTTTCTTTCTTTCAAATGTCGTTTGCTCATAATTATTTTCGCCTTATTTTTCAGGCAATTTACCAATATTTTTCCTTCTTATCTCTTTCATTTCTTTTTCTTTCTTTCAAATGTCGTTTGCTCATAATTATTTTTCCTTTATTTTTTTTTTTTTCCTTCTTATCTCTTTCATTTTCTTTTTCTTTCTTTCTTTCTTTCTTTCAAATGTCGTTTGCATAATTATTTTCGCCTTATTTTTCATAATTATTTTTTCCTTCTTATCTCTTTATTTTCTTTCTTTCTTTTTTCAAATGTCGTTTGCTCATAATTATTTATTTTCAGGCCAATTTTTTTCCTTCTTATCTCTTTCATTTTCTTTCTTTCTTTCTTTCAAATGTCGTTTGCTCATAATTATTTTCGCTTTATTTTTCAGGCAATTTACTAATTTTTTTTTCCTTCTTATCTCTTTCATTTTCTTTCTTTCTTTCTTTCAAATGTCGTTTGCTCATAATTATTTTCGCTTTATTTTTCAGGCAATTTACCAATTTTTTTCCTTCTTATCTCTTTCATTTTCTTTCTTTCTTTCAAATGTCGTTTGCTCATAATTATTTTCGCTTTATTTTTCAGTCAATTTACCAAATTTTTCCTTCTTATCTCTTTCATTTTCATTCTTTCTTTCAAATGTCGTTTGCTCATAATCATTTTCGCTTTATTTTTCAGGCAATTTACAATTTTTTTTCCTTCTTATCTCTTTCATTTTCTTTCTTTCTTTCAAATGTCGTTTGCTCATAATTATTTTCGCTTTATTTTTTATTTTTCAAATGTCGTTTGCTCATAATCATTTTCGCTTTATTTTTCAAGCAATTTTTTTTTCCTTCTTATCTCTTTCGTTTTCTTTCTTTCTATCTATCTATCAGTATATTTATGAATATCTATCAACTGATCTCATTTTATGCATTTATAAACGGGTCCCTTGGACATGCTGTTAGCAATGGTCATATTTTTCCTTTACTGGGTCACGTCTAATCTCTTTTAGATGAATTTTGAATCTTTGTTAGTGTACCAGTTCTTGACCTAATTAGTTGCTGGGAGGGGGGTAAATTGATTATTCAGCCGATGGGTGGCTTAATTGATACGTGAAATTAATTAATGATTATTCAATTAAGATAAAAAAAACAAACAAATCAGCTAATTTATTTGAGGCGTATGATATTTTTTTCATTTCGATTAAAATCATAAAATACAAATTTTGGAATATAAATAATTTTCGATGGAAAAATTTGGGATATTAAAAGCGCGATGATAGCGAGATCAAAATGTTGCTTATGATGTTCAGTGAATTCAAAAGAGACGAATAAGTTTTATTCGACATATTGTATATCTAATTCAAATAAGTCCAGTACTACGATGATGAACGGAAAAGTTCATAGGATGACTATAAAGGAATAATGCTAGAGTTGTGAAATCTTGCATGCATTAATTTCAATTCTTATTGCTGCCTTATATGTTCTGGAGCCCCTTGTGTTTGTCTCAAGGTCCTTGATAAAATCCAAAGACGGATATGCAATGTAATTGGCCCTGATCTAGCATTTCCTCTGCAGTCGCTCGCTCACAGACGTGTCGTTGCCTCCCTCTGTCTTTTTACAAATACTTTCACGGTAACTGCTCCGATGAGCTGCTTTCGCTGGTTCCCAGACTTCATGATATGACGTCATCCTTACTGTGATACTGCTTCTGGCACAAGTGTTTTTTATACGTTGGAGAACAGATGATAGTTAAATCCGCAGTATAGGACGGTTGTACAGTCAGTTCAAAGCTATAGTCACGCAAAACAACCATTAAAACCAAGAACCTGTGTGCTGGTCATGTCCTCGTGCAACAAAACCTATTTCGCCAGTTTTCCTGTGCATTTAACCTTTCATAAATGCCTCTGATAACATAGTTGACATAAGCTGACACAGTACTCTCCATTAATGGCGTTGCGATATTAAAATTAAATAAACTCAATGCTTTTTTTAATTGCAAAGACCTGAGGCCATCAACTTCAGAGGAAACGACCTTGGCATTCTTTAAAGCAGGTATTAGGGTTTTTTCATTCAAATAGATTGTTTCATTTTCTCTAGCTCAACGTGACAACCCAGCACTCATCTTGGATTAGAAAGCATTCAAGGACATCAGCTGGGTCTGCCTCAAACAATGTCAGATCTTCCCATGATGCGCTTAGGCTCTGCACTTTTGATCAAGCAGAAACCTTCATCATGCCAAGTTCATTGTGCAGAATATTCTCAACTCTCTCACAGAATATGCTAATAACATTTACTATTTGTTTTATAGTCAATCGACCATCATCCATCAACATGTGGTTAACTCGGTCAATGTTTTCCCTTGTGGTGACAGTTGCAGACGCAAGAACCAGGATCAACTTCAAGCCTCTCTCTTTCCTTCCTAAATGCACCTGCCCATTTTTCATTGTTTATAAAACTAGGGTCATTCCGTAATGTAGCAACAATGACAGCATGGTTGTCTTCGGGTCTTTGGGCACTGAAACTCTTTTACCATCATGACAAATTTTTCCCCATTTTCAAGCGAACTCGCTACTAGTCAGATTTGAACAGTCAGGCGTAAATTTACTAGAATTTGTATCATTTCTAAGAGATTCAATTTTCGTTCGTGTAAAGAAAGAGAAATTGATAGTTATTCATATGTTAGTCTCGGGGGTAATTTTAGGTGAGCTCGATCCTTATTGAGTCTATCAATATTGTAGCCTTGAGCCAAACAATTCTGAATAAATATGAATTGAAATCAGTTGGTTTCAAGCAAGCTATTCTGAACAGGAAAAATACGTCTACATAAAGGTTAACTTGAAAAATAGGTGTAAATAAAGATAAAACTAGAAATCCTTTCTTCACCAATTTCGAAAAAGTCATATTGAGAAACTACAATTATCAATAATTTTCTCCTGAATTGTGGAATCATTTCGAGGAAAAGGAAATTTGATAAATTTCTTGAACAATCTGTTTTTTTCATCCAACTGAATATAAATCAATGACACCATCTGAACTAAGTTGTAATGCGGTGACTTTAATGATTAAACACTTTCTGAACTATCCGAAGAATTTCTAAATAATGATCTATCTATCTATCTATCTATCTATCTATATATATATATATATATATATATATATATATATATATATATATATATAATCCTGTTCCCATCTATATATCTATCTATTCATTTTCTTCTCTCTATGTCTCCCTCCCTCCATCCATCCATCCACTCTCTCTCTATATATATATATATATATATATATATATATATATATATATATATATATATATATATATACTAAGTATATAATTGGTATATACGGAATGAATTCCAATAACCAACAATTACTATTCTTAAAAGAGTGCTCAATACAAAGTAGAGCAGATATAATTATTTTTTAAAAAAAAATTATAACATAAGTATGTTATAAAATGACTAAAAAAATAGCCATTTATTTTCAACACACTCTGTGATAAGACACAGATGATGTTGAAAATAAAAATTTATTTTCAACATTTTGTAGTGATTTTATAACATACTTATGTTATAATTTTTTTTAAAAAAATTTTATATAAATATATATATATATATATATATATATATATATATATATATATATAAAATCCGTCTATATATAATTTCTGATTTTGATTATCTAATTTATTTTCCAGAAAATAATGTATATTGTACCTGTTTGTGTGCTTGGTTGCTTGTGCGTGTGTGTGTGTGAATGTGTGAGCGTGTGCGTGTTATTGTGTCTAAGAGAGAGAAAGAGAGAGAGAAAGCGCATGTTGAAAGTGTTCTCATGGAAAGTATCTATCTTGGTCATATGTTCATATCAATGCAACTATTAGATTGAGTCATAAATAATTTCTTCATTTGTTTATCCATTTTAGTCTCAAGAAAATAAAGTACAATCACTTTCTTGATAATTGTACATTCACTATTATATGAAATTACTTGCTGCAATCTATCAAGCAGAAATCGAAAATCTATTTGCTATCTTTTGAATAAGATTCCGTTGATTTTAATGTGGAAAAGTTTTCGAATTTCTGTGAATCATATTTTCATTAGCAAACAAGTTTTTGTATGAAAAACTTTTTGCAGGTCATGTCAATATGACGGATTCATAGATTGTTTGCCTGTTTTCTTTTTTTCTTGCTTTATGTAACCCTATTTTTCTTTTTACTGTTGTTCCCTCTATACAAGGCCTAAAAGCGTTAAAGCTAATATACGCCATGCTACATTGAAACAGTCAGAATATCCTCTTTTCCAGAGTATGTAATTTATAAATAGAATGTTACGTACAGGCATTTTTCCCAAGAACAATCGTTATCTATCCTCCATAGTCCCATAATTTACATTGCCTCCTCTTACATCCGGGTCTTACACCTCATTCAGTACTACTCTTGCTTGAATGTCTCTCAAACCTATTGTCTGCGTGTTAAAAAATTGTGAATCTATAGGGAGTAATTTTGCGCTAATTTTTAATATGACGATAGGTTTCACACTTATTTTTTGCTTACCCATATTCTATATGATGGAGTAAAATAGAATACACACAAACACACACACAAACACACACACACATATATATTTTACATAGATATATATAAATATATGTATATATATATATATATATATATATATATATGTGTGTGTGTGTGTGTGTGTGTTGTGTGTGTGTGTGTGTGTGTGTTTTTGTGTGTGTGTGTGTGTGTGTGTGTGTGTGTGTGTGTGTGTGTATAGACCCATTACAAAAAATGGGGATAGTTTGTGATGTATGCCCCAAATATATGTTTAATCTCTTGCTTCAGCTGACTGGATAAGCCTTCACTTCCGTTTCCCAATTAAGTTCGGATCGCTAACTTCCGGTTCAAACTCATTTTTATTTAAAAGGGAAGAATGAATTTTAGACTACGGGCAGTTGAGTTTGTTTCAATAACGAACGCCGTAAAATTGAGAGTAAAAATAACAACTCTGCTGAAATCAGAAATATTTGGGCAGATAAAATCATGATATACGACAAAATAGCCATTGAAATATTAGACCCGATAAAATAAGCATTAATGGCGCCATCAATAAACTTTCAGTTCTCCATGAAAAGGTATCTATTCCTTGCATCTTTTCGAATTCCAAAGCTATATAGACACAACTGTGAACATAACTGCAAAGATGTAATGGCTCAATGCTCCATTAAACTGTATTGTTTTATCGAGTATAAAGATAAAGTTGGCTATAATTATGATGAAATGATTTGCCCTTATATTGTTGAATCCGTCTGATGTGTAATAAAATCCCTATCAAAGTACGACAGTTGTTTTCTATTTGATAAAATAACCTATGAAATCGCATTATATTGCTAATTGCAATAATTAATTCTGATGGACACTTTTCAACGATTGATGTTTCAATTGATCTAACAAAGGACTGATTCCTTTCTTTCT